CAACTCTCGAAGAACTCAACCAATTGTCACCACAAGAGGTCCACAGACTTGAAGAACTCGAGAGCGAACTCAATGTCATTATCAATGAAACACAACACAAGAGGAAGTGGTCTCCAGAAGACTCAACATTTAGAGATATTCCAAGACTTGGATCAGATGTCAACACACATAAAGACCACATGACTGTCGCCACCACTGATTGGCCGCCAATTGAGAGACAAACACATGATATGAATGAAGATATTAATGGATCAGATAATGACATAAAGCCTGTACTGACACCAGAAAGTGATGGCATTTCATTGTCTGCAACTCAAGAGTTGGCCGTCACTGACAGCCATAACAAGACATCGCTTGCCATACAATCGACAACATCTCACAAACCATCGGTTGATAACAGCAAAGCCTTACGCGTAAAACGAGTGACCGTTGGAACAGCTTTGGTATCACAACCGATGACAACAACTGTTGGCAATAAATCCACTGTAAAAGCTATGCCGAAGACTACTGACGCGTATGAATGCGAGGCCAGTCTTCGAGCGCACAACCAATCGGTCGGACACTCGACGACATCAACCGAAGAGATTAGGCAACGAATAGATGAGACAATTGTGTCAAACAGTGCTATCATTAATACATTAGCTGTCAATTCGAAGTACACACCAAATCAATACACGAAACGTCAGCCAAAATCTATAATCCCTTTGACTCAGAGAATTGACATCACTTTAAATGAAGAGATGATATCTAGGAATGAGTTGGCCGTCACTGACAGCCATAACAAGACATCACTTGCCATACAATCGACAACAGCTTACAAACCATCGGTTGATTACAACAAAGCATTACAAGTAAAACGAGTCACCGTTGGAACAGCCAATCATTACCCAAACAGTGTTGGCAGGAATCCATTGGCTGTCAATACAAAGAAGTACCCGAAACTATACCCCAAACTTCAGCCAAAATCTACAATCTCTTTGACTGTTCCGACCACTGTATCGGCCAATCCTCAGCCAAACACCGATAAAAACCAAATATTGGTTGTGTTACCCATTAATCGAGTCACTACTGGATCAGCTCTGAGACCGCAAACCACGACAGGTGTTGGTAAAGTAGTTGACACCAAAAGCCCTGTTTATGTGTTGCCGAAGACTACTCAGGCGTTAAATGCAATCAAAATAAGTGATAAAACCGTATTTTTAAGTCAAATCATTGATTCCGTGAATAATAATCAGCGCTTGAATACTACGGGAAGCGTTCAATCGGTGGTTAAAAGCTATGACTTTCAGTACAAGTGTCCGACGGGCTGTGGATACGGAGCCGATGACAAGCCATCACTCGTTGAACACATGAAAAACAAACACAAAGACATTCAAACTTTTGAATGCAATTCCAATACGTGTCGAGAGATGTATACAACACTACCGGAGCTGAAGAGACACATCACCGAAAAGCACTTAATCAGGCGCTATGTCTGCGATCGGGGTTTCAAAACTGGAAGTATTTTACGGCAACACTTGGATGGCGTGCACTCGACCCGCGAGTATCGGTGCGATTGGCCCGACTGTCAGCACAGGACCCACACAAAGGCGTTGCTACGCGCCCATAGGCTCACGCATAGCGCGGACAAGCCATTCAAGTGCCAGTGGCCGGGATGTGACTATAGGTGCAAAACACTTAGTCTCATGTGTAGCCATCGACGTATTCACGCCAACCGGCAGTTCGCGTGCGATTGGCCGCAATGTGACCGGCGTTTTAAAACCAAATCCAGTTTGAAGTTGCATTCAGTGGTACACAAGGGTTTGGTACCGCCGGCGCCACAATCGGCCGACAAATCTTATTTGTGCGCTCACGAGGACTGCGGCCAACGGTTCGCCACTAAACTTCAATTTGATAGTCACGTGAGAGCCGCGCACCCGACGGACCTGCCGTTTGGGTGCGATTATGAAAACTGTGACAAACGATACAAAAAGAGAAATGAATTATATCGTCACAAAAAGTTGACTCACTTGACGGTCGGCCGTCAGTTCCGGTGCCCGGAGTCGGGCTGTGGCCGAGACTTCAGGACTGATAAAGAAATGAAGAGACACTTGAATGACGTGCACTCGACCCGTGAGTATCGGTGCGATTGGCCCGACTGTCAGCACAGAACACATACCCAGAAGCAGATGAATAATCACCGACGCGTTCACAGCAACCATAAGCCCTACGCGTGTGATTCGCCCGGATGTGAGTATAGAGGCCACAGTCATGGCCTTCTCAGGAGCCATAAGATGAACTGTCACACCGAGCCCTCGTTGGCATGCGATTGGCCCGCTTGTGATTACAAGGGCCGCACTAAATTCCAGATTCAATTGCACAGAATGTCTCACACCGGCGATAAGCCCTACGAATGTGAATGGCCCGGATGTGATTACAAGTGCAGCACTACGTCCAACATTCAAGCGCACAGAATGACTCACACCGGAGATAAGCCATACGCGTGTGTTTGGCCCGACTGTGACCAACGGTTTGCCAAAAAAAGTACACTTAAAATACACGTGAGGACACATTCGGCGCCGGATATTGAGTGCGATGTCGACGGCTGTAAGTTTCGCACCCGATATAAGAAGACTATAGCATCGCATAAAAGATTAATTCATAAATTGTTTGTTTAAATATTTGTTTTGTATTTATAATTATTTGTTTTGTGTATATTTTGTGTCGTTTTTTCAATGAAATGTATGAATCCTTTTGTAAAACTATATAAAAGTCTAATTAATGAGTCATTAATAATGACTGAAGTGTTGACCAATTGATTGGCTCCCGAGTGTGTTGTAGAAGAGTTTATGCAAACGATATTAGTATTAATATAATATAGTTTTGGAATTTAATATTAAAATTGTTTATTCTATGTTAATATTATTTTAACTTAATTTTAAATCAAAATAATTAATTTAATTACAAATACAGTATTTAGTAATTATTTGAACGTAATTTATGTGAAGCCCTTATCTCTCAAAAGTAATGCTTTTGTTGACAAATAATACTTGTATTCAATGTTTGACTCAATTTTGGGTTAATTTTATCATTAGTTTTGATTTGAATTAAAGTTTTATTAATTAAATGAATGAATGATTAAAATGTGGTAAAAATGAGTGGTTTAATGAGCATGGTCAAATTGAATAATGATTTGGTGGAACAGTTGAGAGAAGAGATCCAAAGTCTTTGCAAAGAGTTGTCATTTGAGAGACAATTGAATGAAATGTTAGAAAATATCGCAAAATATTCATTGGATTTGAAAACCAATTGTTTTTGTGAACGAAATAAACAGACATTTGTTTT